TGGAAGTTGTTGCCATCAATGATACCTTCATTGACCTCAACTACATGGTCTATATGTTCCAATATGATTCCACCCATGGCAAGTTCAACGGCACTGTCAAGGCTGAGAATGGGAAGCTGGTCATCAATGGGAAAGCCATCACTATCTTCCAGGAGCGAGATCCTGCCAACATCAAGTGGGGTGATGCTGGTGCTGAATATGTTGTGGAGCCCACTGGTGTCTTCACAACCTTGGAGAAGGCTGGGGCTCACTTGAAGGCTGGTGCCAAACGGGTAATCATCTCTGCTCCTTCTGCCGATGCCCCCATGTTTGTGATGGGTGTGAACCATGAAAAGTATGACAACTCTCTCAAGATTGTCAGCAATGCCTCCGGCACCACCAACTGCTTGGCTCCCCTGGCCAAGGTCATCCATGACAACTTCGGCATTGTAGAGGGACTCATGACCACAGTCCATGCCATCACTGCCACCCAGAAGACTGTGGATGGCCCCTCTGGAAAGCTGTGGCGTGATGGCCATGGAGCTGCCCAGAACATCATCCCTGCATCTACTGGCACTGCCAAGGCCGTGGGCAAGGTCATCCCTGAACTGAATGGGAAACTTACCATCATGGCTTTCCCTGTCCCCACCCCCAGTGTGTCAGTTGTGGACCTGGCCTGCTGTCTGGAGAAAGCTGCCAAATATGATGACATCAAGAAAATAGTAAAGCAGGCATCAGAAGGGCCCCTCAAGGGCATTCTGGGATACACTGAAGACCAGGTTGTCTCCTGTGACTTTAATAGTGACACCCACTCTTCCACCTTCGATGCTGGGGCTGGCATTGCCCTGAATGACCACTTTGTCAAACTACAGCAACCGGGTGGTTGACCTGATGGTTCACATGGCCTCCAAAGAATAAGATCCCTTTGGACCACCAGCCCCAGCAATAGCACTAGAAGAGAGAGACCCTCAGCTACTGGGGAGTCCTTGCCCCAACTTGATCCTCCCACACACTGAGAATCTCACATCCTTGACACAAGTTTCCATCAAATCCCCCTGAGAAAGGGGAGGGGCTTGGCAAGCCCATCTTGTCATGTACCATCAATAAAGTACACTGTACTCAGCCCCAAAAAAAAAAAAAAAAGACTATATTGCAAACCAAATAAATAACCCAGAGACAGAGGCAAAATAAATATACTGACCCAGAGTAATATGAACAGCTACAGAAGAAGTGAAAAATGAAGGAAGAAACAATGGAAACCATAAATAAAGTGTACACCCTAGAGACAGGGAACCAGAAGAAATACACTAATGTGGAGTTACATGAATAGCAATGGAAGAAGGTGCAAATGATGAAAAAAGAGAATGAAATACATAAATGAAGCAAATAATCCAGTGACAAGGAGCCAGAAGAAACATATCAAATGTAAGAACATGAACAACTAGGGAAAACTGCAAATAAGTGGAACAAAAAAATTGAAATTATAGATAAAGAGGCACAAGAACTTTAAAAATCATAACAAGACAGAGAAGGTACAGCCAAGATAGAATTCAAAATAATAAAAACGGATGAAAATGCAATCTGCCATATCAAGACTGAAATAGCAGAAGTTACCAGCATGCTAGAAGGACAAACAAGCAAAATAGAAGAGATGGAAGACATCAGTGAGCTGGAAGACAAAAGCCGCAATGGAAACACACAAGAAGGAAAAACGGAGAGGAGACAGAAAGAAAATGTTAAAATCATGTGGGATAACATCAAAAGGAACAACATTCCTAGAAGTATGCGGTTCAAATCCACCAGATGCTCTGCTGGAGAAGGAGGGACAATCTCCTCCTGTACCAGTCAGACACACAAAATAATAAAAACAACAAAAAAAAATAATAAAATAAAAAAAAAAGGAACAACATACACATGATCAGCATTTCAGATCATGGTGGGTGGGCAGCCAAAGCACTGAGAAAACAGTGGAAAAAATATCAGAAGAAAACGTCAAGGCATTATGGAGAATGAGGAAATCCACATAAAAGAAGCTCAGCAAACTCCAAACAGATTAGACACCAAAAGAAAAACATTAACACATACCATAGTCAAATTCTCCAAAATAAAAGATGAAGCATCAAAAGACAGGAGTACACAGTCACTAAACCAAAAAGAATTGTCTGACACAGAAGAATTTAATGAAACAACATATGATCAAGAGTCTACAGTGTTGTAAGAGAAGTTTAAGCTGCTCTGAAGGAAATGGCAAAGAACAAGGTTCCAGAAATTGATGGAATACCAATTGACATTTTTCAGCAAACAAATGCAGCCCGGGACACACTCACCAAATTATGTCAAGAAATCTGGAAGACAGGGGAGCTCTAGTGGTCTAGTGGCAAGAAGCTGCACTGCAATCCCAGAGACTCATGGTTCAAATCCACCAGATGCTCTGCCAGGGGAGGAGGGACAATCTCCTCCTGTACCAGTCAGATCTGATTTGACAGTACACTCACACAAAAATAATAAAATAAAAATAAAATTAAAAAAAAAAGAAATCTGGAAGACAACCACCTGACCAACTGACTGGAAAAGATTTATATTTATTCCCATTCTGAAAGAAAGGTGACCCAACAGAGTGTGAAAATTACTGAACAATACCACTAATTTCACACACAAGCAAGAGCCTCCTGAAGATTATCCAACAATAACTTGAGAAGTATATCAGCAAAGAACTGCCAGATGTACAGGCTGGGTTTAGAAGAGGCCGTGGCACTAGGGACAACATAGTCCAACATTAGATGGATCTTGGCTGAAAGCAGAGAGTACCAGAAAAATGTCTACTGTGTTTTACGGACAACAAATTGTGGCTGACCATGAGAAGAATGGGAATCCTAGAACATTTAATTGTGCTCATGAGAAACTTATACTTGGACCGGGAAGCAGTAACCAGAACAGAGCAGGGAAACACTACATGGTTCAAAATCAGGAAAGATGTGAATCAAGGATGTATCCTATCTCTATACCTTTTCAGTCAATATGCAGAAACGACTATTCAGGAGGCTGGGCTTTATAAGGAGGAATATGGTATCAGGATTGGAGGAAGACTTATCAACAGTCTATGGCATACAGATGACCCAACTTTGCTTGCTGAAACTGAGGAAAGCATGAGATATATACTGCGGAAGGTTAAGGACTGAAATCTTCAATACGGATTAAAGCTCAACATCAAGAAGACAAAGACTGGCCAATCAGCAGCTTCATGATAGGCAGAGAAGAGATTGAGAATGTTAACTTCAGCTTGCTTGGTTCCACATCCAATACTCTCGGGACCAGCAGTCAGGAAATCAAAAGATAATTTTGCATTGGGAAAGTCTGATGCCAGGGTCCTCCCTCTCATTCGACCTTTTTTGGGTTTGAGGTAGGAAAGAAAGAATTCAATCTATGTTGGAAAGCCTGGACAAACTTATCTAATGGAATTTTTATTAAAAAAATTGGATTATACACTAAAATAAAGATGATACTCTTCTTTAAGTGGGTGGCTCTAAAGAAAAGTAAATAATTGCTGTTGTTAGGTGCTGCCACGTGGACTGCAACTCACAGTGAACCTCCTATACCACTGCTGCAATCTCCACTGTGCCCACCGTTGTCAATGCCAATACACCTCTTGTAGGGTCTTCCTCTTCTTTACCGACTCTCTACTTTTGCCCTCAACAGGAAAGTTGTTAATACTGGCATTTCCCCATCAACACTAGAAAACATAACTTACATACTAGTATACCAAAGAAAGAAGCAGGTACACAGAAGAAACACAATACAAACTCAGAATTTCCTGACTTTGCAAAAATGTACCAGTGCAATTTTGCTTCTTCTTAGTCCATGTACTTTTCAATTTAACTTATGTCATCCCGAGTTTTTTCCTTTTAAGCTATAACAAAAGATATACAATATAATTTGTAACAAGCAAGAAACCTAGAACTCATTAATCATGTTACACTCCATGTTTCAGTACAGTACTTTATCTCTCTCTGATAAAAGATGAGGATCTCACATATCCATCAGGTTTCATACAAGAGTTAACTCTGATTATTTAGCTTTCATTCTAGTATATGGGAATCCTGGTGCTCAGATGCTGAACAGAAAGTCAGTCATTTGAACTCACCAGCTGCTCTGTAAGAGAAAGAGAAGGCAGAGCCTCTGGTGGTTTAAATCCACCAGCAGCTTCCTGGGAGGCTGCTTCTTGTGCAAAGCAGTCAGGCAGTCTCCTCCTGTGAAAACGTGATGGAGGGTCTGCTCTGAGGAGGTTTCAACTGGATAGCACTGAGTTTGTGTAGGAGTAAACCATCAATTCAAAGAAGTCCTGGTGGCATATTGCTGAATAAGTTGTGCTTCTAACTAAAAGGTTTAAGCCCACAAGTCATTGCACAGGAGACAGATGAGCAATCTCAAAGTTTTAGAGCTGTGGAAACCCAACTGCAAGTTGCTAGGAATCAGAACTGCCTTGATGGCAGTAGGTTTAGTTTTAAGAGGGTTTCAAAGTCATTCTAACAATATTGGCAGATTTTGAAAGAAAAGACACAGAGAATTCTTATTTCAGCATTCTAATTTTTCTAACTATACAAAATTTTTCACTGAAAATGGGCATTGTCTTATACTAGTCAAAATTATTTTACATATACTATATATTATTTTATATGGTATATGATACAATCTTTCATCAAAATTCTTCCAAAATAACCAAATTTATAGAGAACTTGATCAGAATGTGTTAATAAACCTCTTTTAGTTGTTCAAGACAAGAAAGTAAAGACATTGGTAGTAGATTTATAGACATACTCATAATTAAGACAGTGTTAAAGAAATAACCTCTTACAATTTCATATATCAGTAATAAAAAGGACAAGGGTAAAAGGATTAATCCTAATTATTCAAGAAAAATTAAGTTAAAAACTACATGCAATCAATGAACATAATAAAGGTCACAGATTATATGATAACACAAGGGGAAACTAAAAAGCAAATGAAAAACAACTTAAACTTACTGGGTTATCTGTGGAGTCATCAGTCAACTGTAAACCAAAATAATCTCGCTCAGTCAAATCAAGATGCTTGAAGACTATATCCAATAGAACTTGCCCCTGGTCATGTTTCTAGAAGAAAAAGAAAATTAAGTCAACCAACTTAAAATATTTTACATTTTCAATCTGGTCAATTTTGAGCCTCTCCTATTAAATAGGCACTTATTTTCTTAAACTCTGCTCTGTCCTGTGCCAATCGCACTGTCTCTGACACTCCCATCCCAATTACCCCAGTCACTCAATCAATCCACCTCATAGAGGGCCTTCCCCTCCTGTGCTGTCCCTCTACCCTCCCAAGCACGATGTCCTTCTCCAAGGACCAGTCTCTCGTTACAACATGTCCAAAGTATGTTAGACAAAGCCTCAGAATCCTTGCCTCCAAGGAACCACCAGGTTTAACCCTTTCCAGAATGAATCTGTTTTCCTAGAAGTCCATGGTACTTTCAATACTCTTCTCCAACACCACAGTTCAAAGGCATCAATTCTCCTTCTATCCTCCTTGGTCATTGTCCAACTCTGATGTATAACAAGTGATTGCAAAGATCATGCCTGTGTCAGACGTACCTTAGTCTCCAGAGAGATACCATTGCTCTTCAGTACTTTAGAGAGGTCCCTAACAGCAGACTTTCCCATGGCAATACGCCTTTTAATTTCCTGGCTGCTGGTGCCAAGAGTGTTGACTGTGGAGCCAAGCAAACTAAAGCTGTGAACAATCTCAATCTCTTCACCATCCATCCTGATGCTGCCAACTGGCCCAGTAGTGAGAATCTTTGTCTTTTTGACATTGAGCCTCAATCCAAATTGTACGCTCACCAAATAATTTGAAAAGCTGATGAAAAAGAATAAGGCATGAGGATTGAGAAAAGCCTCACCAACAGTCTGCATTATGCAGATGACACAGTCTTGCCTGACGGAAGTGATTATTGAAAAAGATCAAAGGCTAAAATACAGACCACATTCCAATACCAAGAAAACAAAAATCGTCACCACACAATCAACTGCAGCTTCATGATGTTTTTGTTGTTGTTGTTGTTGTTATGTGCCAATGAGTAGCATGAGACTCACAGCAACCCTATGTACAGCAACTCTGAAGCCTGCTATGTCCTGAGCCAGTCTCACTGACTCCAACATACCTATTCCTACCACCCCAGTTACTGTATCAATCCATTTGATCCAGGGTCGTCTTCTCCTGTGTTGTCCCTCCAAGCATGGTGTCCTTTTCCAAGGATCATGGCCATGTACCCAAACTATGCAAGATGGAGTTTCAAAGTCCTAACCTACAAGGAGAAACTTGGTTTCACTCTCTTCAAGACAGACAGATTTGTTTTCTTGGCTATCCATGGGATGTTCATGACTCTTCTCCAGCACCACAACTCAAAAGCATCAATAATTCTTCTGTCATCCTTAGTCACTGTCCAGCTCTCTGATATATAGCAAATAATTGAAAAGACCATGGCCTAGATTAAGTGCATCTTAGTCTCTAGACTGACATCACTGCTTTTCAGTACTCTGGAGAGGTCCCTGACAGCAGATTTACCTAATGCAATTTGTCTTTTGATTTCCTGACTGCTGCTGGTGTTAATACTGTTGACTGTGGAATCAACAAGCTGTAATTGTTAATAACTTCAATCTCTCCTCCATCTAGCATGGTGCTGCCAATTGGCCCAGTGATGAGAATCTGTCTTCTCCATCTAGCATGGTGCTGCCAATTGGTCCAGTGATGAGAATCTGTCTTCTTGATGCTGAGCTTCAATCTATATTGAAGACTACAGTCCTGGACCTCTCCAGCAAGCACTTCAGGTCCTCCTCAGTTTCAAGCAAGGTTGTGTCATCTGCATAATGCAGGCTGTTGATAAGTCGTCCTCTAATCCTGATACCACATTCCTCCTCATAAAGCCCCGCTTCCCAAATGATCAGTTCTGCATATAGACTGAAAAAGTATGAAGACAGGACATATCTTTGATGCACTCCATTCCTCATTCTGAACCACGCAGCATTTTCTTCCTGTTCTGAGGACTGCTTCCTGATCCAAGTATAAATTTTGCATAAGCACAAACAAGTGCTCTGGGATTCCCATTCTTCTCAAGGTTAGCCACAATTTGTTGTGATCCACACAGTCAAATGCCTTTGCATAGTTAATGAAACAGACACTCTTCTGGTATTCGGCTTTGTTCCAAGATCCATCTGACATTGGCGATGATGTCTCTAGTACCATGACTTCTTCTAAATCCAGCTTGTATTTCTAGTAGTTCTCTGTCAATGTACTGTTCCAGTCATTTCTGGATACTCTTCAGCAGGATTTTGCTTGAATAGTAGTGATACTGTACGATAATTTCCACACTCTTATCATGTCAGCTTTTTTTTGGAATTGTAATAAATATAGATTTCTTCCAGTCAACTGACCAGGTAGCTGCCCTCCACATTTCTTGGCACAACCGGGGAGCACATACAGGGCAGCATCTGTTTTTGGATTATGCCAACTGGTATCCCATCATTTTCTGGAACTTTATTTTTTTGCTAAATCCTTCAGAGCAGCCTGAACTTCCTCCTTCATCACTGTTGCCTTTTTATCATATGTTGTTTCGTGAAATTGTTAAGATCCTATAATGCTGGGTGATGAAACTTTGTCTCACATACTTTGGGCATGAGGGGTGAGTTCTTATTAAAAGACAGCTGGGAAAGGTAGAAGGTCAGCGAAAGAGAGGAAGGCCCTTAATGAATGGACTGACACACTGACTACAACAATGGGCAGATTTTATTAGGATGGTGCGGATAAGGTAGGAAATTAAAAAACGTATTGCGATGGGAAAATCTGCTGTTAGGGACCTCTCTAAATTACTCAAGAGCAACGGTGTCTCTCTGGAGACTAAGGTGCGCCTGATAGAGGCCATGGTCTTTGCAATCACTTGTTATGCATCAGAGAGTTGGACAAATGACTAGGGAGGATAGAAGGAAAATTGATGCCTTTGCGCTGTGGTGCTGGAGAAGAGTATTGAATGTACCATGGACTGCCAAGAAAACAAACAGATTCATCCTGGAGAGGGTTAAAACAGGCTACTCCTTGGAGGCAAGTATTCTGGGGCTTCGTCTGACATACTTTGGACATGTAAGGAGAGACAGGTCCTTGGAGAGGGACATCATGCTGGGTAGAGTAGAGGGACAGCGCAGGAGGGGAAGACCCTCTATGAGGTGGATTGATTCAGTGACTGGGGTAATCGGGATGGGTGTGTCAGAGGCAGTGCGACTGGTACAGGATAGAGCAGGGTTTAGGGCTGTTGTACATAGGGTTGCTATGAGTCGCAAAGGGCTCGGACGGCACATAACAACAACAATACCTTTTTAATCCATCACAGTCCTAATATAATGTAACAGGAGTTTCCCTAGAGTATGACCTATAAAAACTTCTAAATCACAGGAAATAAAAAGGCAATCCTTACCCTTCACAATCCGTAATCCACAGTCCTTAATCTTCACAGTCATTAATCCACACAGCCCTTAACCCACACAGTCCTTAGTCTTCAGTCCTTAATTCACAGTCCTTAACCTTCACAGTCCTTAATCCACAGTCCTTAATCTTCAATCATTAATCCACACAATCCTTAACCTTCAGTCCTTAATCCACAATCCTTAATCTTCAATCATTAATCCACACAGTCCTTAGTCTTCAATCATTAATCCACACAGTCCTTAATTCTCATAATCCTTTACCTTCACAGTCCTTAATCCAAACATTCTTAACCTACAGTTTTTAACCTTCAAAACCCTTAATCTAAACAGTTCTTATCTTCAGTCCTTAACCCACACAGTCCTTTACCTTCACAGTCATTAATCTACACACTACTTAACCTTCACAACCTTAATTTACGCAGTCTTTAGCCTTTGCAACCTCAATTCATACAGTCCTAAATCTTAATGGTCCTTAATCCACACAGTTGTTAGCCTTCATGACTTTAATCCACACAGTCCTTAATCCATTTTTAATTTGCTTTTATATGCGGTGGCAACATGGATCATGGTTTATTTTTCTGTGGGGAAATTCCATTTTCATGGCATTATTTATTAAAGAAATTCTTTCTCCCAAAAGAATGTACTTAGAAAACTTGGCCAAAAAATCTGTTGTTGGTCTAGCCACAATGGAAGAGAGTATGACACTTTCTTAAAAAGTTGGAAATAGAAATACCATTTGACCAGCAATTCCACTACTGAGAATATACCCTAAAGAAACAAGAGACACAACTCAAACAGATATATGTACACCCGTGTTTACTGCTGTTATTCACAATAACAAAGAGATGCAAGCAACCTAAGCACCCAGCAACAAACAAATGGACAGGAAAACTATGGTACATCCACACAATGTAATATTACAAAGGATTAGAAAAATAATTAACTCTTAAAAGATTACACACCATATGGGAGCCTGAAAGATGTTATGTTCAATGACTTAGTCACAAAAAGACAAATGTGCAGCAGTGAATTAAAAAACAACAACAAAACCCACCCACAACCAAAAAACCTCCATGATCAAAAACACTGATGCAAAAAGGCACTTCATGAAATCCAAGACCTATTCCCAGTAAAAATCTTTCAGTAGAATAGAAATGGATTGTCTTTTTCACAATATTGAATCTTCTTATCCATGAACAAGGCACATTTTTCCATTTTATTTAGGTCTCTTGTTCCCATTCCAAAGAAAGGTAACCTGACAGAGTGCAGAAAATATCGAACAATACCACTGATATCACATGCAAGCAAGATTCTGCTGAAACAACTGGAACAGCACATCAACAGAGAATTGCCTGAAGTGCAGGCTGAGTTTAGAAGAGGCTGTGGTACTAGGGATATTACAGCTAATGTTAGATGGATCTTAGTTGAAAGCAGAAAGTAGCAGAGGAATGGCTAGCTAGGTTATGCAAAGGCATTGGACTGTGTAGATCACAACAAACCGTGGCTGACTTTGAAAAGAATGGGAATCCCAGAATACTTGATCATGCTTATGCGAAATTGGACCAGGAGGAAATCATAAGAACAGAGCAAGGAAACACTGCATGGTTCAAAATTGGAAAGGGTGT